TTTTGATCAAAAATTAATTAAAAAAAAAAAAAATTGAAACAATATTATTTATATAGACAAGGTATCCACATTTACTCATTGTAATATTTCCGTTGATAATAAAGATAACCAAATTATTTTTTTTTTATGTATTACTCATAGGAATAAGGATTAAAAATGTTTATACTGCAGTTAATTTTTTGTTTCGATAAAAAAACTTTTAAAATAACTATCTTATTATCTTTGAAATAATCAATTTATAATTTCTGTTTTTCAAAACTTTTGATATATCAACTTTTTATTTTCATTAAATTCGTGAATTTTAATCATTTTTTTGAAGTTCAGAGAAAAATACCTACAATTATGCAGCAGGTGGTAATCACATTCCATAATTGACTATAATTATAACTAATTAACTGTACACTTTTATTTTCTTAACTTTAAAAAGTTCTGTAAAATCATGAATTTAATGAAAAAAAGTTATATAGAAAAGTTATATAAAAAGACATATTAAAATTTTCAGAAAAATAAACTCTATAAAATAGCTATCTTAAATTTTTTTTCCAAAAATAATAAAATAGTTCTTTTTTTAAATTTTTTACCAAATCATAAATAATGAATTGCAATATAAATATTTATATTTTTTATTCATGAGAGTAATGTAAAAAAAAAAAGAATTTGATTATATTTATTATCTCTCAAAATATTACAATGGGTATATCTTCATAAGACTTCCTTGTATTTATATATTTAACATTTAAATACTAACTTGTTGCATACACCTAACATCATATTTCTGGCTTTCCAAACTTGAATAAAATTCATCTATTGCCTCATTAAAACTTTCATACATTTTTGAAGGTAAATTTGAATGCTGAGAATACAAAAAAGGATGATATTCTTGATTGGTATACAATTCTTTCTTAGTACCATCAGGTAAAACTTGTTGTTCAATTTTTTGAATTATAAAACCCTTAAAAAAAATTAAATGATAATTTAAAAACATAATTAAAAAAAAAAAACACATTTTACTTCTTTCAATGTAGATATATTATCTAAAAACTTCTCAGCAATAAGAAAACAATTCATTAACTTCTGTATGTCTTCTGTATTATTAATATCAAAGTCAATACCAATTTTGGTGCTCATTGTAAAACCACCACTAATTAACATATGCTCCAATAAACAACTGCTATAATCTACAAATTGTAAAACCTATAACTATTTGTAATTATATTACAAAATAAAAACTTATTAAAAAACTAACCCAAACAGATTGGAATATTTGAAAAAATAAATTTTTTCAAATTTGTTGAAGGTTTAGCAGTTTGTAGTATTTCAATCAATTCATTTTCATTTGGAACATTAAGTCGAATTTTAGGTCTATTATTTGGATATATCTCTTTAACAAAAAACCTTTAATTAAATAAATAAAATGTATTAATTTATTTTTTTTTGAAACCTGTACATTTATAGAAATATCTTACTTTTGTTTTTCATCTTCTGTATGTGGACGTAAAATATTTATCATAACATAATCTTTATCAGCTAATATAATATTGCCTTTATCATATAATTCTAAAATAACATGATATTCTGCTTCTCCAACACCAAATTGTAGATCAATTATTCTATCAAATCCCATTTGAGATAAATTTTCCAATCGTTTGTTTGACAAATGTTTTCTCAACTATGTATAAACACAGAAAACATTATATTTAAAATATTCTCATCTGAATAAATTATAGAAACAGCCTATTTTAATACTTAAATAACAATAAAAATCATCCATAATATAGTAGATGATAGACATCTACACATTTTAATAAATGTATCAAATTAATTCCTAATTTGTTTTAGGTCCATAGTTTCTTTTCATTAATTTTTTTGCACCAATAAATGGTTTATTAGTAACACACTGGAGATTAATTATGAAAAAAACATGTTCTTTTTTCAATTTCACTACTCAACTAAAAGTTATCAATGCAGTTATGAATTAATTAAAGTTTGTGATAGTAATTACTAATTAATATAATATCAATATATTTTATAATACTTAAGATATTTGTACTACATAGTATTAAATTAAAAAAATTTAGTAAAACATCTAAGAGTTACTACAGAAAAAATTTTAAAATGGGATTCACATTTGGAGTTGTTGTTAAGAGAGTTAGGAGTGTTTTGTAAATTCAAAACCCTAAATAGTTTATTATTGCCAAATGCTATGGGTATGATTTACTCTTACACAATCTGTTTACTCATATAGGACATCTACCTGGGAAGTCACATATGATTGGAATTTAAAAATACTTAATACTACCATAAATATTTTATTATAATAATTGCAAAAAAAAAACCAGTTTGGACAAGTACTAAAGATCTTTCTAATGAATATAACCTATTATATAGTATTACCTTTAATTATTACCTATTCAATTTAAAACAATTGTATACAATAAAAAAGATCTTAAATTTATATTATATTAAATTAAAAGAAGTGAGATTTAATCATAATTACAATATATACAAAACCAACAGAAATACATTTAAAATTAGTAAGTGCAATACCAAATTTGGTAAGAGAAACCTATTTAATATATATATATTAGTTTATTTAAGAACTGAAATATAATAAATACTTATGAAATTCATATAATTTTTTTTATTTTAATATAAATTCTGTGATGTATAACCAATAACCTAATTATATATATATATATATTAGAATTAGTGTATTTTCACTGTATATTGTAATCTTACCATTATTTAATTATGTACCCACAGTTTAAGATAAGATAAGGTATATCTTAAATTATGGTACTACCTAAAACATTTGTTTGTTTTTTTTTACAGGCTGTCCCACGAAGATATACCCCATGAATATATCTGTAAATGTTCAAGGGGTATATCTTTGTGGGACAGCCTGTATAGATATATTATATACATAGATTTATTTAAACTAGAACTATTGTCTCCAACTCAAGTTTGTTTTAGAGACAAATTAATTTATATTTTGACTGACATGTATCTGATTACTTAAAAAAAATAATGAATACTACTACCATTAGAAACAATTTATTTTAATATTTCAATAATAGTAAAATTATATTTATGGGAATGATCAAAATCTACAAATTTTAATAAATCTAATTAACTTCTAATTTTTTTTTTTATTATTCAGTTTATATAGGTATGTAAACAATTTTAAAAATTGAATACATAAAATGATAAATGCTAATATTATTAGATACCTTCATACTAAAACTGCTAGGTGCTTCATTTTTAGTCCATTCATAGTTAGTTACATGCAAACGAACCCCAGATTCTAATAACAATATACACTTTTCATCATTGCGTTGAAACTTAAATAAGTATGTTTTATGATCTATATCATATACTCTTTGTAATCGCATGCCTCTGTACCTAAAACAATAAAAACAAATTAATAGGAAAAAAATCTAAAAAAAACACCTGATTTTTAATAAACGTCCTATTAAATTTTAATCATAATAAATTATGTTTTTGGAAAATATTGTAAAAGTAAAAGTAGATTATATCTAAATACATGTAAAACTAATTACCCTGAAAAAATAACACTCGTTTTTTGGATAATCATGTAAAAAATGGCTTATAATTATTACTTTATAATCGAGTACAAACTAGATAAGGACCAGTAAAACACTAATAATAATTTCTAAATTACTTAGTATGATATTCAAAATTTATAATATAGAACATTTTATATAAGGTTATAACTTTTATAGGCATAAAACAATATATGCATATACAAAATGTTACAGGATGATCTGAAAACTGAAATAACTTTTGTTCTGTTTAATATTTTTAAGTTTTTTCTTGTAAAAATTTCTTGAGCCTTGATCTACAAGACTTCTATTTTCTATTTTTCTATTTAACTAATTATAAAACATTTTAACATTTGAAATATGTAATTATTTTAACAAAATCCAAGATAGCCATTTTGTATTCAATTTGAAACAAAATTTTGGTGTTATAAATATTTACTAATGATGAACAATTAAGTTTCTACAATGTTTAAAGATTACAACAATTTATTAATACAATTTTGTTCATGTGTTTCAATGTTTCATGTTTCAAAATATATTTAAAAAATAGCTATCTTTGATCTTTTTTAAAACAATTTTTAATTTGTAGTTGACAAAAAGATGTTTACTAAAATACTTTACTTGGATCTCTAGGCGCACCCAAAATGTATATGTTTTTTCTCCTATTACCAACCTGACCTGGTGTTGTTTTTTTTTTTTACTCAGGTTTGAACTTGCCATTTCTGATACAACAGATACTAGACTACAATAGATATATTATAAAATTGACAATATTTAGATTTAATATAACACATAGAATATCAGAACTTCAAAAAGCTATAATTTTGAAACAAGGTCAGTCCTTTCAATTCTGCCTTCACCATCATTCTTAAATTGGCAATATACATATGTTAAAAACAAAAAAATGAAAATTTGATTTGTTCCACATAATTTTTTACTCAAATGATTTTCATCAAAATTTCTTTAATAAAAAATATTACATTAATCTCATTTATCTTTATTTTATCACAATATACAACTTTTAATGAACCTCCTGTTAAATTTTTTAGCATTTCTGTTTAGTTTAACGATTGTTTCCGCAGAGTACCAACCAAATAAAAATTATGTACAAAACTCTCAAAATTAAAATGTGCTCAAAAATAAATAGCTCAAAAATGGCTCAAATAATTTGAAAAATTTAACACATATAGAAAAAAATGAAATAAGTTTTCTATTTAAACTTCAAGTCTCTACGAATATTTTTAAATGAATTACAACAAAAACGAAATTGAAAATAATAAAAGCATTTTTTTCATTCATTTTTTCTCAGATATTATGAAAACCGCTAAGAAAATCAAAAAATAACCTCCACAAAGTATTATCTAAATCACTGGTTTTTACTAATTTATAATAGTATCAATGTATAATAAATAATTAAATACATCATTGTACCTACATAAATATTAAGATATTAAGATGTACTTACAATATTTTATAATATTCTATTTACTTAAAAGTAAAAGTTTAAATTCTTGGCCTACCAAGTATTGTTATTTTTTATGACCCTATATAAATAAAGTTTGGTCACCACTGACCTAGATATTTTCTTTTAGAAAAGGTGTCACACTTAAATATCAAAGCATGATTGCTGGTAGACATTTTTGCCATAGTATAAAAAAAAAATAAACATCATTTTAAAACCAATTCATTCTTAGCTATACTCAAAATCTAAAAATATAAAGTAGAGGAATTATATTATAATGGCACTGTTAATTATTACAAGAAAAAAAACTTAAAATTATTCAACAGAACAAGTTATTTCTGATGTTAAATCTTTATGTTACAGCTCAGTGTCGTATCCAGGGAAACTGGGGGAGAGGTAAGGTGTTATAACCCCCTCCTCCATTGTATTTTTTTTAGCTGACTTAATTATTATACAGAGAACAGATTACCTATAGAGTTGTATGTACACAAGAAAATAGCTTAATATGATATGTACTACTAGAACGTCATGATAACATTCTAGAATTCATAGTTATATGAATATATTTTAATTGCATTTGACGAAATAAGTAAATAGGACGACATTGATAAATCATCAAAACAAACCGACTTATGATAGTTATTGATGAACCAGTAGTTATAACAAGATATATCATAAAAACATTTTTATATTAGTATCTACACCTCTAAGTGGCCAACTTCAAACAAAAAATATTGATTTGGTTACAACTGTAAAAGTAGCAGATGATATTCTAAATATTTGAGATATTTAGAGAAAATGTAGTCAATGACAGTGGTGTAAATTGGCCTATGCAAATATAGCACTTGCACCACCATATTTAAAATGTGAAAAAGTTATAATTTTCCTAATGATATAATTTTATTATAGAACACCTACCATGTGTGACAGTGTAGCACATAAAAAAAACTAGGTATGTCAAACAAAATTACATGAATTATATTTACTGACATTGTTTGTTCAATGCTATGTTTGCATATCAAATATAATACTTAATTACTTGTTAGGATTTTACTAATCACATAATTCAATACTATAATATTTGGGTTTTAACTGAATCACAAAAAAAATAAAATTGAAAATAATACATTTTGTTGATTTTCCAGTTTTTCCAACGTTTTTTCAGTTATTATGAAAATCGATGAAAAATCAAAAAAAAGTGCATCCTTAAAGTAACACTTAGATAAAATTTCTTATCAGAAAATGTACTACTATAGAAAACCGGGGCAAAATTTCTGGTAAAAGTTATTAAAACAATAAAAAAAAAATAAACACCATTGTAAACCTAAAAAATTCCATGTTGCGCTAAGAATTTAAAATAATAGTTCTAAAGAACCAAAATTAAATTAAATAGAATCAAAAGAATCAATAAAACTAATAACACATTTCTTTTAATTATAAGATGAAAGTAATTTTATAACATATTGTTAATATTGATAATATTTTCATACTGGGAATTTATTTTTTTTTTTTTCAAAATTAATAATAATTAGTTTTATTTTATATGGTATCATTTGGGTGAAGGTAATTAGAAATAAAAAAAGGCTAAATATTCACCGTGTATAATTTTTAAGACAATTTATCTAAATTTATTAAGTAACACACATACAGATATTACATAATACAATAAGATAACATAAGATGGGCCTACATTACTCAAATCCCAAACTATTTCTATTGCTACTACGAAAGAAGTAAACTGTGTCCCGACTGAAACGCATTTAATTCTGAGCATCCCCACCTATTTGAATTACTGAATGGCACAAAGTGAGGGGCTTTGTAACAGGCATTGCCATTAGTCAACATGCGCGAAACGGTTTACTTCTCTTGTGGCCCGGAGTATAAATTAGCCTACTGCTTAAAGATACTACTGTGTATTACATTTTTTAGAAGTTATGTGCCTAGATAAATTGTGTTATTTTTTTCTTTTCCTTTTAATATTATAAACTATTAAACATGTTCGTATAGCATGTTAATATGTCTAAGTTACAAAATACTCAAAGTTCACAAAAAACAAACCTATAACCTCTGTAAAAGTAAATAATCAATTAAAACTAATAATACTGTTAAACATAATTAAAAGTACATTCTCAAATGGGCAAAAAATCAACTTTACTTAATTACCTAACTTAGTGCCTATACATATTTTTGGAAGTAGGTATTTAAACTCATTGGCATAAGAGAACGGAAGAGTTATAGAACATGTATATAAGTATATAGTTAATATAAATAAGGAAAAGTAAAGAGTTTTGTTATAATAAAGTTATGTCATTAAAGACAAAGGAAGAAACAGAAATAAGAATGTTGAAGTGCAAGTCTGGTGAAACTAAATTGGGTAGGATTAGTAATGAATATGATACAAAAGGTAATCTAAGAGCAGTAATTATAACCAAAAAAATGTGAGAAAATAGGTTAGAAATCAGGCATAGATGTTGTTAAAGGTGATATCACGATAGAAGAGTAAGCGTACTTGATTTCACTTACTTAGGGTAAAGGTAAAGAGGAAGAAGAAGTAACATATTATAATATAAAATATAAATGAAGTGCAATATTATTAAGAGTTAATCCAATTAGTACAATAAATAGACAATTACTTTTGAATTTCGTTGACGACACACATAATGTCCAACGTGGAAAATCGAGTTTTCATATTTGATTTGTTTTTGATAAATCATTAAATACTGTCAAAAATTATTAAATAAACTTATTTAACTCATTTAGAAGAAATAAATTAATAATTAAGCACAACAAAATATTATTTTTACTACATCTCGTCATCACAGAACGCGGATTGTTTTTCGAACTGCATAATATAGATTATTGGTACCTATTGATGTGTATCAATATTTCTAACAAATTTTTAGAGAACATCGGTAACGTGTGCGTTGTCGTTATCGTAATGATTAATCGTCGTTATCACGGCGCAGGGCTCCATCAACAATCATGTTGTCGTCAAGTTACCTAATGTACAATTAGGCGAATTTATTTTTGATATTGTAAGTTAGATTTCAATATTTTTTTACTATTTTATTTTTAAATTCGATATGGTGTATACTATAGCCTAAATGATGAGCTATAATAACTTGTTGAAAGCTAATAAAAAAAAAAAGTTAAGTTACATCATATGGTGTATAAACAAATAGAACCCGGGTCATTAAATTCCTACCATACCTTTGGTAACAGTGTAGATCTAGTTGTCACAGGATCAAATTATCGTGTCTTGATATTAAAGTCCAGCTATTTGAATGTTATCACTTTATCAGTATATACAGCTAATATACCTAAAATTATAATAGATAGTTATTCACCTAGGTAAATATTTTTTTAAACTTTTAAATAATATACTTCTTCATAATAATTTAAACAAAATGAACCTCGCACTGGCCAGAACTCCGAACTCAAAGTGTCATTTATATGTCAAAATCTATTATATTGTCATAAAGTTAGAAGAATATGGTTAAGGGTAAATAGAATTTTCAAAAATCCAGTATCTAGTATCTAGGTAATCATAGTATGAATAAGTTTTTAATTTTTCTTAACATTATTATGTTAATACCATACCAATTTCATTAAATTAACATTAGGTAGATTAAACTGAATGGTATTACATATTTCTTATACAATAGAATTCCCTTAATGGAGACACCGCATAAAGGGGACAAATTGGAATAGTCCGAATGAATGTATTCGTTTTAGGCAATTTAACTTTGTTTATTGGGGGCAAACCATTGGTTATAAGGGATATATATATAAATCTATAAATACCCCTATAAGTACCTAATTTTTTATCAAAACTATAATCATCTAATCTGTATGTCTCTATACATTTTATATTTTATGTATTTTGTTTTTGTCCATCATTTCTTTTTCTCCTATTAGAACATAGGTATTCCTCAAAGATATGAGTCTACTAGCCTATGTATAAAATTACTTCATTTATCAAATAGCTTTAGTTCACATTCTTTCGGCTAGTTGGTTGAAAAAATGTTTGTACTGGATAAAATAAAAAGAGAAATTAATAGGCACATCTAAATTGGTAATTAGCTGATTAAAAAGAATTAAGAAACTACTCGTAAACAGTTGAAAAAATTAAATGACAGTGAAAACACATCTAATTAATACTATTATACTGTTAATACGACTCATAATATTTTGTGAAAAAAGTTATTATGGATGTCTATGCACTTTAATAGTTTTTTTGTTTATTAATTTGGCTAATTGGGACAGTCAGATAATGAAGACTAATAGGCTACTGCCCGATGAGTCCCCCTTACGCTGTTTCTACTGTTCTTATATTTTTTGAATCTATACCATGACCTTTCTTTGTAAGTTCCAAATTAACTAATTTATATGTGGGATGAGCCACTGATTGAGTATTAATCATCATGTCTATTTTTAATATAGCAATACTAATTATAATCTATAAATGTGTCGTGATGACTAATAACAAATACAATAAAATATATTTGCTGATAAATCCAAATATCTTTGATGCAATAATAGTTATATGATTTATATGTATTTAAAAAACGAAAATATGTATTTAAGCTATCAAAATATGTACATAAATATGTGCTAAAAAAACTCAAAATATGTATTTTACTAATATTATCTATTTAATAATATTTAATTTTATATGGTCTTTTATATGATTGTTGATTTGGTCGTAAAACTGCCTTATAAATAATACTAAATGATTTTTTGACTTCGACTGATGTTATTGCATTTTGACTATATTTGAAGAAGGAAATTCTACATCCAATAAAACTTCAGAAGAAAGACCAGTCAGAGTACTTTTGATAGTTTCCATTTGTGTTCAGAATTTTTTTGTAGAATATTTTCAACTTTGTCATTTATAATTTTGCCATTTTTTCCTTATACTTTTTCAAGTTTTTTACTGTTTCCTCTACAATACTCAAACTTTCAACTAAAGTTAAGTTAAGAGTTTCTAGTTTTGTAATAACATCCACCAAAAAAAATTAACAGAAATGTAAACTAATTCATTTTTCAAATCATTTTTTTTAAAGAATTTCAGTTTATTCTATTAACATTGAAGTAGTCGTTAGGTTTTTGATTTCTTGGAAGTTTTGACAATAATAATCAATGGTATTTAACCAATTGCCTTCATTTGGTATTTGATACAATTGTGTCAAGAAATAAATTGATAAAATATATAATACTATAGACTACTATATATAGTCTATATTGCCATAATTGGCTAAATATATAAGACAAATGAAAAAATTAATAAATGTGTAAAAATATGTATTTATGTATTTAATCAACTGTAGCTTCAATAATAAAGATACAAATTACTTATTCATCTTACAGGTTTATAGTTTATGAGAGACAAAGACAAGTGAAATATTATACTTCTTTTGAAATTGAATTATTTATTTTATTTAAAAAATATATCTCTGGTTACTTTGCTTTAAAATTATATTTATTTGATATATAAAATCATACTCTGTGCAATGTTTAGTGAATACATTTTAACTTATTTTAACCTATACATGGAAAACTGAAATACAATAATTTTTTTACAAAATATTTAAATATTGAATTTAAAATAGGTAGCTACATAATTATTTAATAATTTTTACCAAGCATTCAGTTTTAACTGTGTGTCCTATCTATTCCTTTATTATCTATGGTGGTGACCTAATATTTATAATATTGTTGTCATCGAACCATAGATAGATAATATAAAAATACCGTTTTACATTTAGTGTTAGGCCATTCCTATATTAATGTAATAAGGTTTCGCGTTCCAAACGCTGTGGTTTCGAAATCTGAATAATAGATACTGCTTATACAATTAGTTATACCGCTCTCACTCACACAGCAAGAAGTTTTATCATTAATAATTAATAATTATGTTTCACAATGATCCTATCCCTTGTTGGTTATTTATTAGGCACTGAAAGACTTATCATTGAAAATCGGATCTCATTATTTCAATTTTGTTTATTTAATGTGAAAGTAATAAATATAATTTTATTTTGAAATGTCGAATAGGTTGGAGGGTGCAGGGGCAACACCCCCCTCCCCGTGATACCTTATCGTAAATAATTTTAGCGCTACCAAGTTTTAGACTGAACGTGAGCCAATGGTTCAACCCTTTTAATAGACTATAGTTTTGAATCTCAGGAAAAACGTAGGAAAACCGGAGAAATCGGTACAACATTAAACAAATGGTATTATAGAAAATATATAGAGTCTATTTAAATATTTTACTATAATATGGCGTTTCTTCGACTTTTTTCCTATATTAACTTAACATACCTAATCCGGATAAATTATTCTCACATATTAAATAATCGCTAGTCAGCTGTCCATAAAAAATATTCATAAATATTAGGCTGTAGTAGTTGGTACCAATTTTAAATCATTGTATATTGTGATTATAAATTAGTGAAATCTTATTATCACGAAGTATACCTACCGACTAGGTACTAATTCAGGTGTACACCTTGGTACCAATGATGAATTTTGGGATTTTCAGATATTGAATTTGAAAATAATTATTTTAACTTGCTGGAAAGCAAAGGAGAGTTCCTTCTCTGCCCCCTCGTGACACCTTTGGACAGAGGCAAACGCAAGGGGGGATTTAGGGGTTAAAAACACCCTCCCCCCGAAATATTGAAACAAAAATTAAATTACCTGACCTACAAATACTTATAAATAAATTTAATAAAAATGATTAGTTATTTATTAATAATAATACTACAATATAATAATAATTAGTAATTATTTTATTTATTAGTTATTTAAAAGTTTTCGGGGTTCGTGAAATGACTGTACAATAAAATTATCATTATACTTAACGATTATGCAGTGAATATGTTATGAATAATTTGATAATAATTAATAATGATTGACACCTACCGCCGTTAATTCGGCAACGAGTATAATGAATTATCGTCTCCATCTATATATTATGGGAAAATCCCAATGGCCCATATTATCGAAAATATAGATAATTCTAGAAATTCCATTGGTCTATATAAACCACACGTCTACACCGCTAACGAATACACCGACGTATCTTGTACCACTATTCACTGATTTTGATTATGTAATATTATGATGACGTAATATTAAACGCAATTACAAAAATTCAAAATGAGTTTAATTTTAAAGTTTTTTAAACCACAAAATAAAAATATCACCCAAGTTTCGATTGATGTAGATTCAGACAAATCGTCCATGGACAGTCTACCAACTGGACCAGAGGTGTTTTATATGTTTAATTACAATAAATAAGAAAATTGAACAAATAATAAAAGCATTATTTTCATAAATTGCCCGTTTTTCTTACGTTTTTTCCCACTTTTTCTCTTTTATTGGGAAAAATGCCGAGAAAATCAAAAATGACTTCTCCAAGAAAATTTCCCTTCAGAAAAAAGTTTACATCGTATACATCGGAGCAAAATTTCTGGTAGAATTTTTGTACACAGAGAAGGATAATAAGTTGCCTATATATGAGCCTTTTCTACTCCGGTCTACTGTTATAACTCATAAATAGTAAATCTAATATTAGTGTTATGCATATCAACATTTCTCGAAAAATATTTTCTATTCAAATCAATGTTCAAAAGGGAGGTTCCTATTAGAAAATTAAAAGTATACACATATTTAAGGTATATAGAATAAAGGTAAAAAATTAGAAATGGTTTTAAAATAAAGCTTAAACAATTCCATAATGATTAGAAAAAACAGAAATTATATTCACTTAAAATCCTCTGAGATAATTGCTATTTCATGATAAAAAAAAATCACCATGTACACTCTATATTTTTCTAGGGTATTTGAACTTTTTTTAGATTCTATAGAAGCTTTTATTTGATAGTTAGTATTTGGATCAAATTGTTTGGCCAAACACAAATGATTGAAATTTTACATGAGGTTTATTATAAGTAAGTTGTATGTTTTATATTCCATAAAAAAAGTTGGACGAGTTATTACGAGTTAGTGCCGTTTTTTTAAAAACTTTTTAAGATCAGATTATTACTTTTTTTTCCCTTTAGTATGAATAATTCTTATTTCGTGTATGGGTTTCCATTAGAATCATTAACGTTCGTGAACGCAATAATAACACGGACGGCCATGTATTTAGACATAAGATTTTATTTAGGAAATAAATTTATATAAAGAAAAGAAAAAAAAAACGTATTTAAACAAAAAATGGGTTGTATTGCCAGTGCATATGTGCCATTTACGTCGGGCATTTATACAACCCTCGTGTTGGAATGTGGTCTAATGTAATGTATACCGAACATAATACATGTTAACCTTGGTTTCGGAATGCACCGCACATAACAAATACTCCGAATACTGAATAGAAACAATGTTTTTAACCGATAATAAGAACTCATAAAGGGTCGTGCCGAGGGGAAAATAACATATAATTTGTCCCTCCTATCGGCTTTGTTAGTTTGTATATAATATCCTATAATATTATCTTTACATTGAAGTAGATCTGGCATAAACATATACAGGGTGTTTTTTTATTTTTTAGCATGATCCAGTGATTATTAAGTAAAATTTTTTTTTTTTCATCAATCATTTGAAAAACCGAAAAGAAAAACGGGAATAGGGCATAAATCATTGTGTATTGTGATAATAAATTAGTGGAATCCTATTTTCACGAAGTATACCTATCGACTAGGTACCAATTAAGGTGTTCCTTGGTACCAATAATGAATTTTGGGATTTTGGGATATTGAATTTGGAAATAATTATTTCAACTTATTAGAAAGCTAGAGAGTGATCCCCCCTGCCCCCTTATGGGCACCTTTGGATATTATTAGAAAAATATTCTATATTTCGAAAACGATGTGTGTTTAACTTAAATTACAACCATATTTCTGTTTTATTTAAAAATGATTTCTGTCGAAAAAACGATATCTGTATTATCTATATATGGCATATGATTTACATGATACATCTGCTATAGACCCCACACACACTCATTCTTACTCGATGTGTCGTGTGTCGTCTATATTCGTTTTGTTCGGAAAATACAATATAGTATTGTTTGGGTATGAACCGACGGAATATTTGGGACGGTTATATTATTCATTTCAGTACTTACATACATACACTATATGAGGGTAAATTGAAATTTATTATTGTAAAACATGATCCGAGAAACTGCTGCAACTGCAAAATACAATATGCGAGTATTTACCTATTTATTATATTATAAATCACGGTTAGGACATTTGTGAAATAAAGCCGATAAGGGTAGGCACGTATTCATAATCAGGATAGAAGAGGCGGCATCGCGAGCACATGTGGACAACACACAATAAATTAACGAAACAATGATAGGCACCTACATAAAAGGTCGAAAATATGTCTTGTTCGGGTTTAGGTATAGAGTAGAATAAATAAAAGCGTCGCCGTGCCACATAGAGTACAATAAAATAAGAATGTTTGGATGATTTTTACTCCGAGATTCAAACGTAGTGAACATAATGATGAAAATGTACATTTTGGTGATTTTGTACAATTTTAATACGTATATATACATATATATGTCGGGTACTCATAATCCTGACTTAACTATAGTGGCTTTAAACAACAACATAACATAGGTTTAATAAATATAAAAGAGGAAATCGAATACATACAATTTTATGTCTACCTGACCTACATAAACTACATACAAAGCTCCACGCAGATATACTCATTGTAATATCCCCATAGATAGTAAAGAAAACCAAATTATGTTTATTCTTATTTTATTATTAAAAATATTATTTTTTTATATAGGTATTTGTAGTCATTACCTCTGCAAGTAATAATAATAAAAACAAATAAAAGCCAGAATTTGATTATCTATATTTTATCTGGAAATATTAAATAAGTATACCTTCGTGAGACGCTCGGTATAATTATTTAATCTCGGAATAAAAATCCCCGGAAAAAAAATCCCCAGACTACAATTTTACTCACAACCACATGAAAATTATTGAACACACTATATTTTTAAACGATAATTAGTGTAATTACCACATTATTACTATTTAATTACAAATATCTCTATATGACTCTATAGTCTTGACTAAGTGACTAACTGATTGATTCATCATTGCCTAGCCCAAACTACTGGACGGAACGGGCTAAAATTATGGGTTAACTAGGTGACATGGACTAGGTGACAACTAACAGACAAGAGAACTATTATTATTATTACTATTATTTACATTATTATCTAGCAATAGCAAAGCATTACCGAATCAGCTAGTATACTTATATAACCAATCTATGTTCAAAGTTTAAAAAAATGTTGAATACAATTTAACTTATTTTTATATTTCTACTTTAATTTTGAAAATTTAATATAATTATTATGAGGTGGTTTTACAAATTTTATTTTATAGATACGTCAAATAATACAAATAAAATATTTAAATATATCGTACAAAAATATTTCAAATGATCGTTATCTACATATATAGTTAATAATTACACTATTTTTTAATATTGTGGCTTACTAAATTAAAAAAATCGGAAATATATATTTTGGCACTTACAGATCAGGCACAGAGTTCTTTAGAACTTATTTCCGTTGTCCTCATTTACCCAATTTTGGTCGTTTTTTTTATTACTTTTTCCGACGTCATCTAATGCTATTTTCGCACAATCCACAGCAACTTCATATTTCTTTTTTTTTCATTAAATGCCAAACCGCGGGATGTTTAATACGAATTAAATTTGAAAATCGATTGTTCCAGCCCTCTGGCAAAAAATAACATAAATATAAAACTGTACTGCAGCTTGTTTCTAAAATGTTCTAGAAAACAAATTCCGGAAAAAGTTAATACTATCCGAGAATAATGAGTGTACCTACCCACTTAAATTGTATGATATTACGACAAAAAAGGCTGGGAAAAAGGCGCTGACCAAAAATCATACTAGGAAAGAAAGCCCCATCGTAAGAAAAAAAATGCCAAGTTGTAAATGAATACGTATATTTTAATAACAATTAAAAAAACATAAATATTTATTATACATGTTATTTTAGATTAATAAAAGCAAAGGAAATTTAAAAATAATGTTTTGAAAGCATGATTTTCGTATGTTATGAATGTTATGACTTAGGTGGTGCGATTAAAAATTCTACAGTACTTGTTAGGTTGTTGTATATATTTTTCAAATATATCCAATGTATACAGCTAAATATATTCTCAATAAAAGTATACATATAAAAAGGTTTTCAAGCAATAAATAAGAAATAAGATAAATATTATTTAGATAGATTTCCACTACAAGTGTAGGTACCTACATCATATATATCATATTATTCTATTCTAACTAATATAGGGTAACATGGCGTGGTAATACAAATGGACAACTGCTTACAAAATATTTTCGTGTAAAATGTAAATAAACAACCCAATAGGTATTTTGGATTTTTAAATTACCTATTTTTTTTCTGTTTTGTGAACATTCAACATATGAAAATTATTCTTTTTGAATTGCCTGTGTTTTTTATTAACATTAGCTTTCAATACACTAGCAGGTAAATGGTTTATATCACCTGTATGTTCATCGTTATTGGAGTCTTCATCAGTAATATTTTCATCCGGAGGTTCTAAGAAAATAGTATCTTCACTCAGCTCATTTGACTCCAGCAAATTTATAATATCATTCACGCAAAGAGATCTGAAAAAAATATACATATGTATAATTTTTTTTATTTTAAAATATTTCTTATCCAAAATTAATGGAATAAACAAATTATTTTTAGTTTTAGACATATTATAACATTACACAGTCAATAATCATACAAATACCTAATGCAAACGTTCGCATTATACAATGTAGTGTATAATAATATACTGTGTAGCTGTAGTATTGTTTTTGTCAAAAATATTTGTTGTAGGAATCTACTAATCGTAATAATTAATTGTTATATGTCAATTGCGCCGGTCGGTAATCCGTGTTTACGTGTTATCTGGTTTTACGTTTTATATTCCCTTACTTTATCTAAGTATATCTCTAAAAATAAGTTCCTTTGCGTTTTATCATGCAACAATATTGAAATCGTTATCGTCATTGTATTTATACTTTATGGATACTTTTGAAAAACTATTATTTTTATAATCATATTATTTGATGATAGATAAAATTTGAACAAATATTATCCATTTAGTATATAAATAATAAATCCGTAGTTTTGTTCACTATATTTCCGAGCGTTTTTTTTATATCCGCCGTGGTTGTACTCACATTTATAATGAAATACATTTTAAGTGAACTAAAGTTGGTAAAGAACTAATTATTTACCAAAATTAAAATCCAGTTATGTTTACATGTGTAAAAATAAGTTGCCACTAAAAAAACATATTTGTAAAAAATTAATTTTTCAAATTAATCTGTATTTACTTACAATATAAAATTATTGGATTATTGAAATCATTTACACTTAACTTCAAAAATTAAATTTGCACGGGGCCCATTTAACTCTATTTACAGTACCCAAGGCCGTCACTGCAATGGGAATCGGAGAATCCAGTGGTGTACGTTTGAATGTAAATAGTATAAATGCATATAGTAGGTACCTGTATTAAAACAATTTTAAACCCCCGACCCCGAAATTTGTTTCCAGTACTTATATCATTTCGCCAATCGCGAGTTTCAGATCCGCCACTGGTTAGGTACGGTACAATTTGGTTAAGCGATCGTGGCTGCGACTTAAAATATTATTCGCGGTCGCGGTCGCATGTC